CAGGCTAATCACAAGACTTCTAGCTGGTTTATCAAGCATCCTCTCTTCATTCATTGCGGTATTCAAAATCATATCAAGTCGAAGTTCAAAAGTAAAGTCAAAGCCAAACCCGGCTTGGTGCAACTGTCGCAATTGTTTTCATTAATTTCATTTTATCCTTTGTTGTCGATTTTATTATTATATCTTTTGTCTCTCTTCATTCTAATTCTCATAATTTTGTTTGATTGTATTATTATTACATTGTGCCTTCATCGTTATCCATAAACTACAACCAATTCACTTTAGTCGTCTTCATACCAACATTCAACATCCAACATTCGTACCACACACACAATCTTCTGTATTAACGACTGATAGTTCCAAACACACTATACAAAACAAAACAAACATTTTTAGTCGTCACAACACCCTGCTCATCACGAAATCTGGTCGATTCATTGAGGTTTATAACGACTGGTGCGTTGCGCAGTATACGGTCGTTTTGATCGGGTGCCAAGAGGAGTGTCACAGTGTTTCNCGATCACGGCAGAAATCACTGAACGCTGGATCGAGGATGCAGACATTACGTCCGAATAAACGACAAAGCAGCTACCGGTAGGCGCTATAATTACCTTTATTTCAAATCCCCTAAAGACCAGAGATGGTCTTCGGAAAGGAAAGGGAGGTATACAAGTCACATGACGAGATCATACGGCAACTATTTAAACGAGTCCAAAAAATTTTTTTAATCAACTGATTAATTAACTAATCAATTAACCAATTAATTAATTAAAGACCGAGTCGGTCTTTGCAAAAAGGGGAGATGCAAAAATTGTACTTTCAGAATTCTCAAAACACCATTTCGATGAAAGGTGCAAATCAAAACATAAAAGATGCACATATGGGGAATGCAACATCTTTGTTGCATATTCAGATAGAATGCACGCTAATAGTCAAAACAAAGGCACCATATGAAAGCTGAGAAAGTATATCAGAAGACGTTATCTACAAATATGATCTTTTAGGAACGTAAGAATGGAAGATGGAACAATGGCGATGAAAGAAGGCAATTGAATCAACCGGAAGTCGGAGTCATAGTCAGTGTTCCGGATTCAAGTGTTCGTATCAGTACGTCAGTTAACCAGGATTGGCTCCCACTTAACAACCTAATCGAAAGTAAGTAATAATGAAGTCGAAAGCAAGCAACATCCTTCTATAACAAATTTAGCGTAACGGATAAGACGAGGAACCAATCAAACGAATACAATGAAGATATGTGAATGACGTGATGTCTACATTACACAGTACAAAATTTTCAATATATTTGTGAAGAGGATTAAATGTTGAGATAACATTTGGATGGTTCGAGAAGAAGCTTATTCATAAGAATAATTACAAATGATATCATTTCTATCGTGAATAGCATGATTTTAGGATAACACTCCAACACATCGCATAAAAACCTTACAGGCGCCGCCATAAACATATTGTCATACACTGAACGTTCACTGTAACTTTGTCAATGTTGGACAGCTATAAAACCACATTAAATATCATTTCGAAAAGGTGGCATCCGGAGGTCGGGGATCACGAACCTTATTCAGACTGAAGGGTTACGCTGTGAAGCCACGTAAATTCTTGAATGCTCAGGGCCCCGGACTCCACCGTCGGAGCTTCCGAGTTTCGGATATCTTCGATAAAACACTAGAGGTGGAGTCAACCTCGAAAATCCCGAAGTCAGAGGGTCTCGACCGTGACGAGCTGGGTTAAGGAACCCCGAAACCACGTAAGATACCAGTGGCCCCAGGAGTTGAGGATAGGATCAAGGGTCTTCGGAGCCTCGCAAGCGCTCGTGGGCTTCCGAATCAAGGTTTTTGTTCAATATTATCCAAAAACGCACGGTTGGAAAATTGTTTCGGTGAATGAAAAGATTAACTTCTTGATAACACGTAAAGTAACAGATTTAGCAGTGTACACTTTCTAAAGGGATGTTCGAGAGTATTCTCGTAAAACGAACCTTCCAACTTCAAAGCCACTGAAAAAATCTGATCGAAATATCTCATTTTAAAATCTCGTGTATACTAACTTATCTATTGTAATCGTCTAA